CTAAAGACCTAACAGTAGTAAAGGAAAACTTTAAATATCACAAAAAGATCAAAGATTATTTGTGCCAATTGAGGGGAAGAACAGAAAGTTGAGGAAAAACAGGACTCTTTTTGTGAGAGAGAGATATTTTGCTATAGGGTATATAGGGTGTGTGCACTTGCTGGAGTGAGAGAAAGAGACAGAGAGACAGAAAGTGAGAAATCTCTCTCACACATGCACACACACACTGGGGAGATAGCTATACTCCTCCATTCTTCTCTCGGGATCTTGGGCATGCACGCACAAGTACCTAGCGTGAGTTTAAGTCACCGGGTCCAGAACTTGAACCATGGTTGACTACATGGGAGTCCAGCGACATAACCATTACATCATCTGCTGGTCCTTGTTCTGGGACCTTAAACAAGGCAGTAAACTCGAAGACCAACAGCAAGAAGAAAGACAAGCCTAAATGTTCATCAGCCTCTCCATGTATACAGCTGGTATTTGCCAGAAGTTCTACATATCTCATAAATACTACTACTGTATGCTAATATTTTGAGATATATTAGTACTATCTTTGCAAAAATATTTTGACCAAGCTTTTTTGCATTGTCCCCACTGTCTGCCCACATTGAACTACACTATGTAATCACAATGTGTCCATTCATATTGAATTATTCATAAATACTTCCAGAATGATAATGAAATTGCAGGAACCTGATAGTTTTGCAGCTCAAATTGAGCCCCCAATTATTCTAACTCTCAGTGATGGAGTTGAGTCTATTTTCTTAAGTCTGCAGGGACCATCTAACGTAGAAAGAATTGTCTATGGCTTCCTCCTGGACATGTTGACCATTGCTAAAACAAATGACATCATCTTTCTACTAAGGATTATGTAAGTATCCTGTACTGATAACGTTTCAAATGCACTGAGTAAATGTTAACTATTAGTGGATATGGTGATGCTTTAAGAGACATTACTCAAAAGAAGCAATTGGGAAATAATCGCTCGCATTTCCTTTTAGGTCTCTGATGTGAGACCTAATATATTCCTATCATATATGTTACTTAAATGAGTCTATCTCACATAGTAGTTTTGAAGACATTAAGAAAGTCGGTTTATGGGACCAGTAGTTAACGTAATGGCTATGTTGCTGTACTCCCACGTAGTCGACTGCGGTTCGAGTCCCGGACCCGGTGGCTTAAACTCACGCCGGGCGCGTGTGCGTGCATGCCCAAGATCCCGAGAGGAGAATGAAGGAGAAGGGATTGCAGCGTGGCCATCCCCCCTGGAGGGTGATTTCTGGCTTTTTGTCTCTCTGTCCCTCTCTGTCTGTCTGGCGAGCACACGCGCCCTATAGCAAAAACCTCTCCAAAAAAAGAAAAAAGAAAGTCGGTTTATGAACAAACTACTATCTATAGAAGACTGACTGATCACTGAATTCTAAGTATACATGTATAATCTCCTTTCACTTGCAGATCTCTATATAGCAGCATACGAACACTTATTTTCAGACTTTGCCATTTTTTTTGTTCTTACGCGTTTGTACAGATTATCTGCCAGAAGTTTAGTCTTAGCACTCAAAGAGAGACATTACTCCAATATTACTAAAGAAATTGGGAATGCTGAATTCAGATTTTTGGCAAGGAGAGCTTATGCAATATCAGAAAGAAAAAAAGAATTTCCCTGCACCTATAGTTTATGCCTGCTTGCTCAATATTTCCCATAGAGTAGGTTTTAGTCTATAACTGTCTCTCCTGGCATAATTTATTGAATGTCTACTGTGTGATAACTGTTTAGTTTTTATTCTTGGTTTTAGCCACAAACAACAAATGGGAAACCTCAGACTGTTGGAAGAGTATGCTTTATAGGTGGTCTATGGGCTAAGTCAATGTGGATACAGAATTTATTAGAAATAATTCATAAGGAATTAGGTCTGAGGGGATCAATGCTGAAAAGGGTCTGATCTGAGAAGAACCTTTCAGTATCTACTATTGTAAAGAGCAGTGGCCTTGAGAATAGACTACATGGCAGTGCCTTGCCATCTTTACCGTGTAACCTCTGAAACTCCTGGTCAGTACAAATGGGCGGTAGGCAGGACTTGTCATTCTAATGAATGACACAGCTCTATAGCCCAACTGTCTTCTCTTGAACCACGGGAAATCTGCATTCATTAGTGTGAAAAAATAGTTTTCAACATGCAGTGTATTATCTTAGTAATTAAGCATTGTTCAGTGAGTCTGTTACAACTTTATTTCTTTTTTATTTATTATTATTATTATTATTATTATTATTATTTTAATTTGACCAGAGCAAAACTGAAAGAAAGAGAGAGGGAAAGTGAGAAAGTACAAAGAGAGAGGGAAAGTGAGAAAGCAAAGCACCGGGTCCAGGACCCAAACTGCAGTCAACCATGTGGGAGTCCAGGGCCTTAACCACCACACCACCCGCCAACCCCACAACTTCATTTCTTCAGCTTGTTACTAAGTACAAAGTTGAGCACATCTTGAAATACATAACAAGTGGAGTAATACTTGTTCCCCCAAGAAGCTAACAAATGTTCAAGCTGACAGTCCTTAAAGTATAGACAATCACCTAAGGTCTCTACCTAGCTCATTCATCTTACTCATATATTATAAAAAGTTATTTTATTTCCCTAAAGCAAAGCAATTCTTTAATCTTTAATAACATTTTTTTTTCAAGTGCAGATTCGTTAAAAGCCCAAATTATGAGTCTTAGAAAGGACATTGTCTACATGGATAAGTATGTGTATGTGTACACTGATAATTATGCATTCTCATAAATTTATTTATGGTCAGAGGGCACATAAGCTTGCCAGAGAAAGAGACAGATGGGGCAGTGGTTAAGGTGTTAGACTCCCACTGGCTGACTCTGTGGTTCAAGTCCTGGCAGCTTGAAAATCACACCAGGCACTTGTGGGTGTGTGCTCAGAATCCCAAGAGGTAAAGGGAGAAGGAACTGTGGTGTGGTCATCCTCTTCCAAAGGGGAGAGTGTGATTTCTCACTTTTCCTCTTATTCTCTCTCTCTGGTGAGTACACAGACCCTAGGGCAAAAACCTTAAAAGAAATAAGAGAGAGGGAGAGAGAGAGAGAGAGAGGGAGGGAGGGAGAGGGAGAGGGAGAGGGAGAGAGGGAGGGAGAAACACCTCTCAACACGCACAATCGGGGTGTGGTCATGCTTCAATCCTTTCTCTGTTTATCCATTCAGGATTCAGGGCACACATGCACACATACCCTGTGTGTCTTCTGAGCCACTAGGGCCAGAATTCGAACTGCAGTATCCCACATGGGATACTTAACCACCAGGCAATGGACTGGCCTAATTTTTTTTTTTTTTTTAAGACAGGGTCTCACCATATTGACCTTCTTACCTCAGCCTCCCTGCTGAGACTATAGGCACCAGGAAACCACACCAAGCTCTTTTTCAGACAAGGTCTTGCTATGCTGCAGGTCAGCCACAGACTCTAGTTGCTGGGATTACAGGCACAAATCACCCTGCCTGGCCTTTAAATTGGACTGAGAATAGAACCCAGGCCACCCATGTGGCAGGCCCTGAGGAACACTGCCTCATTCCAGCAAATGTCCCCATGACTAGACTGTAATTATTGATTGATTGAATTGATTGATTGCCAGAGCATGCACACGCTGGCCAGAGAGAGAGGGGGGAGAGAGAAAGAATCCCCTAGAAGGATGTGGTTACACTTCAATCCCTTTTCCCTTTCTCCATCCTGTCAGGATTTGGGACACACATGCACATGTGCCGTTTCTTTCTCAAGTCATCAGAGGAGGGATTTCAACCACAATTGGCCATGTGGTATCTGGCACCCTTAACTACTAGGCAATGGGCTGGATGTGGATGAATTTAAATAAAACAATGTAATCGTGAAATTTCCTATGCTAAAGTGAAATTGTATTATTTACATTAGAGATCATGAGGGAGTAACTGGCTTAGTAACTAGTTTATCACATTAAAATGTGCTTTTAATGTATGCTAATTTCAAAGGCTCATATGAGAATCAGTGGTCCGCATATAATATTGGGAGGAATCTGGGTTGGGATTGCCTTGTGTGTTTCTGGGCAAGGAAGAATTATTGACTGCTACCCTCAATTATAAAATTGCAACTAATCTGAACAAAGAATGCAGTTTAGGCTTGTAAGGGCTTAGAGCAAAACAAAGTAATTGAAACATTATTATTCACCTTTAGAGCCTTAAAAACTGAAGAAAATGTTCTAGAAATAATACGATAGACTGAAATGTGAGAAGATTTAATATCTGGCATGACAGACGTGTTTTTAATTAAAATATCAGGATATTAACTTTACTTGTACAGTTTCCTGAAACTCATTTCTGAGGTTCAGGGCAGGCGAAGGCTCAGGATAACAAACCTTTATGTTACACAGAAGGCCCCTGAAATCCAATGACGTTAAATGACTTTGGTAAAGACACACTGATGCTGAACCAGAAGCCCGATTTTCCCTTCAAGATCCTTTGTCCTGTCTCCCATCACGTATTGATTTATTCTGAGAAAAAGAAAAATCAACGGAAACACCAAGTCCCCGCCTCCTGACATTAATCATTCCCCTACAACGAGCAGTCATTATTCCATGACACGTTTTGAGTCATCTCAACTGTGTTCCCTCCAGAAAAATTAGTAGCAATTTTAAATAAGGAACTGGCCCATTTAGAAATCTAAGATCACTTTTAAACAAAAAAATTAAATTAAAATAAAAATTAAATATGTATACACACATAATTTTAGATTTTAGTATAAGCTCGTGACTGGGAGGTTTGGACACGGAATGTCAATGGAGGAATTAATAAAACGTAGGCTCGACGCTGGGGCCGGTTGGGAGGCGGCGGGCCGCGGGCGGCTCTGGGGCCCGGGTCGCTCCCAGAACGCCCGGGCGCCGACCAGGCCGGGTGTGAGGCACCTCCCCAAGAACCTGGCGCTCGGGAAGTCGCTAGAACCACGACCTGGATGAGAAAGGGGCGGCGTACCTCCGACTCGGGCGTGGTTCCCGCCGGGGTTGCCCCCGAAGGGGTCGCTCCCCCGGGAATGGTTCCCAGCGACGCCGCCATGATCTCGCGGGAGAGACGCGGCTCCTCGTCGCCTAGGCAACCGGGGGGGGGCCGGCGTCCCTGGGCGGGCGACCAGCGCCTCGGTGAAGGAGCCGGGAGCGGGAAGGGGCGGCCGCCGAGGCTCCGAGTCGCCCGGGGGCACCCGACTTGGCCTTTTAGTAAGCCTGACAGCGGCCAGAAGGGCGAGGGCAGCGCAGCGACGTGGAGGACCTGGTATCTGAAAGCGCTCAGGGCTAGCGCGGTGCGAGTTCTCGGCAACTGTTCAAGGGCGTGGATTATTGGAGCCCTGACCCTTGAGGGTCGTGTAAAGTTAAGCAGTTAGTGCAGGGAGTTATGGTATTGCCCTCTGGATTCGAAGGAAAAATTGCCCTTATTTTTGAAAGATACACGCCGAACGGTTTAGTCATAGTGAAATGATAGAAAATCCGAGACTGATTTCACAATAATGTGGGAGAGGCAGGGGAAACGGGCGGAGGTAGGGTAGTAGATAAATCAAGATTGGGTACACCACAGGGGAGGAATAAGTCGGTGTACTATTTTTACTATTTTTTTCTACTTTTGTATGTGTTAGACATTTTCCAGAACACATTTAAAGACCACAAGACCTATTTTGGGGCAATATAAGGTGTTTTTTTTTTTTTTAATTTTTCTGAATAATCAGCACCTGCTCTGAATGAAATGTGCTTGTGTTTACTGCATGGAGGTTGCCATATAGGATGCTTAGTGAAAAAAAAAAAAAAAGAAACGAAAAAAAAAAAAAATAACCCAGGCATTATTTAAGTACTTTGGTTCCCTCATCTGCAAAATGAGATAATACCAACCTCCAAGTGTTACTGTGAGGATTTAGCAGATTAAAGTATACCGTATGGAACCTGACACTGGAAGAGGTCTACAAGTGCTAGATCCTTCTAGTATTAGTGTTACCTTCTGCTGTCTTAGTCCATCGTATGCACAGCTGCCAGGATAATATTTCAACATGTACCTCTCCTTTGCCTTTCAGACCAAATTTAACACTTTAGCTCTATATACCTTTATAAGAGTTGTGCCTTTCCTTCAGATTGTCTCATGGTTGAAGTTATGCATTTAATTTGTGCTGTTGACCTGTTTCTAGTTTTGAATGTATGGCCTAGCTTTTCAAGTGGGTTGTAGTGCCCCCTTTCCTTGATATTTTCACTTCTAAGGAATTAGTGTAGTTCCCAATACAAAATGTTCACTCCACAATGTGTTTATGACTTCCAGCTTCCTTTTTTTAGAGAATTATTTTATTTAAGTTTATATATTTATTTTAATTTGACCAGAGTGGGACAGAGCAAGAGTGAGAGAGAGAAAAAATGAGAAAGCAAGCCACCAGGTCCAGGATTCAAACCATGGTTGGCCATGTGGGAGTCCAGTGTCTATAACCACCAAGCCATCTGCTGGCCTCCCAACTTCCTTTTAAAAGTCTGTATTAGGGTCAGCAGTGGTGGTGTCAGTGGTGGGGTGCCATAGGAGGTAGGGTCCTGCTGTGTAATGTTGGAGCCAAAGGAGAGGCCCTGGGTTCAGATTCTGGGTTGACCTGAACATGCTGGGCTCACCGGTGTTCCCAGCTGGCTGCAAGGCACAGGGAAGGATAGTAACAGGAGGGCCCTAGAGAAAGTGCCTCTCACCTTGCACTCTGGGTCTCAAGGAAGTAGGTAAATAAACCTTTTAAAAAGGGCTGTCATAGGGACCAACAGTTAGCATAATGGCTATGTCGCTGGACTTCCACATAGTCAATCGCGGTTCACGTCCTGGACCCAGTGGCTTAAAACTCACACCGGTCGTGTGTGCGTGCATGCCCAAGATCCCGAGAGGAGAATGGAAGAGAAGGGATTGCGGTGTGGCCATCCCCTCTGGGGGGTGATTTCTCCCTTTCTGTCTCTCTGTCTCTCTCTGTCTGGCGAGCGCACGCGCCCTATGGCAAAAACCTCTCCAAAGGAGAAAAGAAAAGGGCTGTCATAGAACTTCGTGAAAACATAGTTGATTTGTAGTGATTGCCAGGTTAATACATGACCCACAATCTTGCAAACTCATTATACTGCTTATTTTCTTATTTTGTTTTTTCCTGAACTCTACTCCAAAGAAATTGAAAATAGCTAGTCACCTTCTGCAAAGTACAAAGACTTCACATTCTTTAAGTTTTGTGTTTGGTAAAACACTAAAGTGTTTATTTTTTTCTGAGCTGTATTTCCAGTTTCCTCCAAAAGCTGATTTGTTTTGACATTTTATTGACAGTTTCTGGGTTTTCTGCACCCCTGTGTGGTTTTGGACCCCAGAACTAGAGTCAGTTCGAACAATAGTTACTGTTAGTTACTACAGGAGTGTTACCTCGGCCAGTGAGGAATTGTTTTGTAGAAATTCCAGTTTCATTTTTAAGTCAGTTTGAGAAGGTAACTTAATTTTATGAGACAGGGTTTTTTTTTGCTCACTTAGGAGTGGTGCTGAAAACCCATTAGCCTGAAGATTAGTTTTAATTCCCAAAGTTGAAGGTGGGTTTAGCCTCCCGTTTCTTTCATAAGGCAGTTTGAACAAGGAAGACAAATCTCAGTATGCAACATGCTTTCTTACATGGGAAGGTCATTTAAGTTTTCCTTCTCAGGTCTCTTTTGAAGATAAAAGTATCTAGCTAAAGCAGGCAAAATTCCATTTGTTATCTTAGTTTATTGTTTTAGGGCTGGAAAAGGAAAGGAAACATATGGTTCTTGGGAGTTTACAGTTCTTTCTCAAAAAGACCTCTGCCTTTTGCCACACGTCAGTGTAATGTGGGGTAGTATTAGTATTTGATCTAGTATTTGAGATTAGTATTTGATCAACTGGATTGGTCCCCGTTTTAATGAAAGCCCTCTCATCTACATACTTAATAAACCTGTGAGCAGCCCATTTTACATATGGAAGTAGGTTTTCTTGAAGAGGCACTTTCAAAAATGTACCAATTTACCAATTCAAATACTAGGCAGATGTTTCAAATGAAACTTATTTAACACCAGAGAAACACCTAGGAAATGGCTAGATAATTTTCTGATAGATATTGATGGTTTGGCATTGCATTTTATGGTCATTAATTCTGGTGCTGAGATTTTATCTGTTTTCTTAGGGTGAGCCAGTATTTTGATTCCACTCTTCAGGTTTCTGTCATTGGTTACTGTCAATACCATGATTCCTGAGGTCTTCAGTCCAGTAAGTGACACCCATAATACTCATAAGAGGATCAGACTGGAAAAATTTCAATTTGTCTTTTAAATAGCAGTAAAAGACCTTGTAATTCTGGAGATGGGATTTAGACAGCCCATTGTATTTTAGCCTTGCAATACATTAGCATTGTTAGATACTAAAAGGAAAAAAATACAAAAAGTAATTTAATTTGTAAGTAATTGCTTTCACTCTTCATTACATGTTTAATTTTTAGTGAAGAAAGTATTTCAATTGTTAATCAATTTTAAAATATTAATAAGTTTTCATCTTTGCCAAATCCTCAAATCTGGTCTTTGCATTTCAGTCAAGTGCTTTGTTTTGTTCATTGTACATGTGAGAACACTGTAGTGTCTTACCTTAATAAAACACACGTAGGTGATGATGCAGCAAGCCTATTATAGTGGTATATGGTCTAGGTGTGACTAATTATTATTGGCTACTGGAGTGAGGTAATGATTTCCAGTAAACAAGTTGGTACTGTTTGGACCTTGTCTATGCAATAGCACAACTTGTCTTCTGAACTCTACTCTCTCATCTTGGTCCAACTCCCCAGTCACTCCCTTCACTGTAGTCTTGCTGCCCTTCAGATGAAAATTTGGTCTTTTTTTTTAAAAAAAAAAAAAATGATTTTAGCTATAGGGTATATGTGCTTGCCAGAGAGACAGAGAGATAGAAAGTGAGAAATCCTCCCCCCTCCAGGGGGGGTTGGCCACATTGCAGTTCCTTCTCCATTCTCCTTAGAATTTTGAACACACATGAACCATGCGCCCAGCGTGAGTTTCAAGCTACTGGGTCCAGGACTCAAACAATGATCGACTATGTGACAGTCCGGTGACATAACCACTAAGCTATCTGGTTGTCCCTAAAATTTGTTCTTTTCAAAACCAGAAAATACTATTGGGTTGTTGGGAAAATCATGACACATTTTGCATAGATAAACACAGAAAAATATGTCATGACTTTACCAATGACCTAATACATTTTCTTTCTCTAGTGATCTCTTCAGAATAGTTTTGTAACTTGTTTCTTTGTTTCCTGATCAACTTGTGGTGAAACCAGTCTCTCACTCTTCACCTCTCAACCTCTCTACACCTTGCAGCCAGGCTCTTACTTCCTTTGCTCTGAAGCTGTCCTCTCCAGTTTGCCACTGTCCCTGTCTTCCTTGATACGTGGACAGTTCTCTGTTTGCCCCTTGTGTCCATACTTTACCTTCTCTACTTGGATTGTGTCCTCAGAGGCTAACCTTCAGAACTCTATCAGCTGCCTTTGACATAATTTTGCTGTCTGACACGTGTTAGGGTTTGACCAACAGAAGCACCATCAAGTGGTTGAAGCATAGAAGAGTCAGCTTCAGGTATTTATCTTACTGGTTCCCTCTCTGTAGAGTAGCAGCTTAAGAGGAGCCAGATTACTATGTGTAAGGCCTTGCAAGCCATGGCCCATCCCTCAGATCCTCCAGAGCTGTAGTTCTCTGAGATTTGGTGACCACCTCTTCGCTGACCCTGTCAGGCTTGAGGGAAACCTGGGATGTTTACCACCCCCTGATTTCCCCTGTGGCCACTCATATATTTGTAAATAGCTCCTTTAGGGAACTTTCCTTAGTCATACCATTTGTGCCAAAAGTTCTCTGCTGAGACCCCAACTGATGGTAGCAAAATTCTAAACCTTTTAACAAGGAAGGCCATGTCTGGCTTGCTCAACACCATTGTTACTACCCACCACTTATTTGTTGCACAGCAAGCAGTATCGTCTGTAAGTGAGCCTGGGCACTCACTGTGGATTTTCTGAACAATTGTATGGGTAGGGCTGCACCCAGCTGGAGATCTTGCCCCCAAACTCAACTGCCCTCAGGGTCAAT